TTCATTATGTTGATTACCAGACCTAGATAGAAATAAATGGAGCATTCGGAGATATTCGCTCCGTTGAGCGTGAATGGGGCTTTCGAAACCAATCCATTCCTCATGAGCACTGTTTTTGTGAGATTTGGTTGAAGACCAATCTTTCCACAGGCTCTATCAAAATTATCAAGCATTCATTTCGCTTGGCTAATGCTTGGTGCTATAAGGACGATGTCATTAGCAAAGCGAAGGTAGAGTAACTGACGACCGACGATTTTCACACCCATATTATCCCATTCTTTAGCTCGCATGACGTTCTAGAGGGTGACGATAAACAACTTTGGCGAGATGCTACCGCCTTGCCTAACTCCTTTTTTGACGTCTATGGTAATATCGTTGTGGAGTGGTAATATCTTGGTTGTGAAATTTTTGTAAAGCTTATGACGAATCTTTATATACTGAGTAGGAACTCCTTGACTATCAAGAACTTCCACGACTGCTTGTATCTCAGTTGAGTCAAAGGCCTCTTTCAAATCGATGAAAGTGAGACAGAGCGGTCTTTTGTACTCTCGCGATACTTCAGTGAGCCATGCTACCGTGTGGATGTGGTCCATCGCACTAAATCCTCTTCGAAACGCTGCTTGCTCACATGGCTGTCTGTTGCTCAGTGTTCTGTCAATCCTGTTTAGGTTGACTCGAGTGAAAAGTTTCTACACGACAGACAGTAAGCAGATTGGGCGATAGTTTCCAATTTCGTGCAGGTCACCCTTCTTGAACAATAACATAGTCTTGCAAGTCTTCCACCAAGTAAGCACCTTGCATTCAGATAGGTAACGCGTGAACAGGCAAGCCAGTGTGCTTACGAGGACTGGCGGAGCGTTCTTCATTTGTTCTGGTCTTATCTTGTCCGGACTTGGTGCTGTTCGATTTTTCACTAACGAAATGGCGTGTCGGATTTCATAATGGATATCCGGTGGTACAGCATATCCACCTTCCTTTGTTTCGCATGATAAGAGGTGGACGTGCCTGTCGAAGAGATTCGAGTAGTATTCGTGAATGGTTTTCTCTATTGGCATTCTGGACGCTTTAACTGTTCCTTCTGGGTGTCGGAGTGCAGTCATCTTGGTCTTGTCTCCAAGAAGTATCGGTGGGCTTTGTGAATGCTTTTCCCATCCTCTTCAGCTTTCATCAATACTGGTGCTCTTCTCTCTTTAAGATCTTCTCTTATCGCCTGTCTGCATTGTCTTGCATGTTCGGGCGTCAGTTCGCGTTGCGCGCAGGTCGTGCGATTCCACGCTGACGTATCATCTCGAGTGTTTCTGGAGACAAACGTCTCTTGGTGACTTTCGAACACCCAGCTTTCATAGCGCTAACGTGAAGATGTTTAATGAGCCGATCGTATTCTTCGTGGATGTTATCGACAACCGCATTTTCTTGACAGCCGACCAATGAATTGAATAAGTCCCAGTTCAATGTTGTTCTGGGACTTCGGTTTTTGAATTTAGCCGAATTTTCTCTTTTCTGAGAGAAATGGAATCCTGTACCAAAAAGGCGGTGGTCTGGTCTTGTGTAGAATTTTGCATAACAGTTACATCGTTTAGGCAAAACCTTATGCTTACCATGATGTGATCGATTCCGTTGTTCTACTCTCCATTGCGAGAATCCCACGTTCAGCGATGAGGGTGGGGCCTTTGGAATTGCGAGTTACCATGGATGGTTTTGGTCGTCATGATAAACTCAGAGAGCCGCTCACCCTCTTCGTTCCATTCTAATTCGTGGGTCCCAATGTGACGTTCATCAGACGTTTTTCTTGGTCTAATCCGTAGTATGATGCCGGCAGGTGGACGATCAAGGTTGTTCAAAGCTGGTATTGATCTACATCTTTTTAATCGTAAACGTCCGATTTGGGCTGTTAGTTGTTCGAATGAATTAGTGTTCATGGGCAAAGTCGTGTTGACGAGAACGCCGACGCGGCCGACCTGTACTGTCGCATGTTCCGAGGAACAGTTCTCCGGTGTCATCGACGTCGTTCAATGGGTAGCGTCGTCTCGTCTGGGCCAGACCGATGACGTCGTACTTTATCTTTCTTACTTGTCTAAGCAGGTCTCCTGAGGAAGACTCGAATGCAAGTGTTCATGCAATGTAGCTACAGATAGTCACCATAGTTCTTTGTAATCCAGGCAGCTTACATTGGCCCTGAAATTTTAGCAGTCTTTCTGAACTCGTCCTATGCAATGCCGCCGAATTTGGGGCTCTTTCGGAGTCGGCGGAATAAAGCCCCTTTTTTTGTTTTTACTGTTTTTAGCTTTTTGATACCCAAGTATAGCTCGCTGAGTTCCTGGGTATACTCACGAGGAGCTTACCAGTCTATTCCAGAGCGGACATGGAGCTTTTTTATTGGATGCGACTCTTAACCGATTCCTGTATACTTCCCTGCCACTTTAAGTCACTGCAGGCTTTTGGCTGAATTGACTGGTGGAATAATATCCGCATAGACCAGAACGCATCCACACATTCTGTCCTTTCTGCGAGAAATGAATCTTTCACGAAGGACACGGTGGTCTGTTCCCGTGAAGAAATTTAGGACAACAGCAACATCGGTTAGGCAAAACTTTCGGTTTACTATGATGTGGTCTATTTCGTTTTGGTACTTTCCATTAGGAGACTCCCACGTCCAGCGCTGAGGGTGAGGCTTCTGGAATTGCCAGTCTCCATGAATAGTCTTGGTTATCATGATAAACTCGGAAAGCAGCTCACCCTGTTCGTTCCATTCCAATCCATGGGTTCCAATGTGGCGTTCATCAGACGTTCTTCTTGGTCCAATCTTGGCGTTAAAGTTTCCAGTAATGACCTTGAGGAATGTATGGCCTTCTCTGTAGAATTTCTCCAAGTCCATATAGAGCGCCTCGACTTCCTCGTCATAGCTGGACATCGGCGCGTAAACGACGAAGATTGTCAAAACTGGTGTAGATCCACATCTTCGTAAGCGTCCGATTAGGCTCGTATGTTGTTCGAATGAATCGATGTTCGTGGAAAAACTCGTGTTGACGAGAAGGCCAACGCCTCCGACTCCTCTACTGTCGCATGTTCTGTGAAACAGTTCTTCTCTGGTGTCATAGACGGCGTTGAATGAGTGATGCCGTTTCATTTCGGCCAGGTCGGTGACATCGTACCATATTTTTCTAGCTT